TGTGCTTATTCTTTGATTGACCCTTTTTCTTTAATTGTGGGCAATCATATTTAACATGCCCTGGCTTTTTGCATTCATAGCAAATGATTGGGTCCTTCTCTTTCGGTTCATTTTTGAGGCCTTCATTTCGTTTGAATTTTCTTCCTCGATAAGGTCTCATTATTTTTCTGAACCGTTTGGCAAACAATGCCATTTCCTCGTCATCGTCATCGTTATTCGAATCACTCTCGTCTTTTGTGGATTTGAGAGCAACTCCAATGTTTTTCTTCTTCTCCTTCTCCTTTGGTGTCTCGTCAATTTTGTCGAGGTCCACCTCATCTTCGAGCATCATTTCATGAGTGAGGAGTGACCCAATTAGCTCTTCAAGAGTTAAGGACGTTAAGTCCTTAGACTCGATGATTGCCGTCTTCTTTGATTGCCATGATTTTGGGAAGGAGTAGACTAACTTCCTCACAAGCTTTTCATTTGAGATGATCTCTCCATATGATTTAAGACCATTGACAATCGTTGAAAATCTATCCGTCATAGCTTTGATATCTTCATTTGGTTTCATCCTGAAATTTTCATAGCTATGCGTTAGAATACTAATTTTTGATTTCTTTAGCTCATCTGTACCTTCATGAGTGACTTGAAGCTTGTCCCATATTTCTTTGGCGGTTGTACACGATGAAACTCTTTCGTATTCATCTGGTCCAAGAGCATAAAAAATAATATGGATGGCTTTGGAGTTGAGCTGGAACATTCTTGTCTCTCCTTCACTCCACAACCTTGGATGAGTGATAGGCTTGATGTATCCTTCTTCTACGGCATTCCATGCTCCCATGTCACTTGCTTGAATGAAGTACATCATTCTATTCTTCCAATAGGCGTAATTAACTCCATTGAAGAAAGGAGGCTTGTTGACGGGCATCGAATCAAGACCGGAGTCGTAATTTGAAGTGGAGTCCATTGATGACTTGGTACTCGATGTAACTCTTCCTGAATCAACTCAAGAGGCGATTAAACCTTCAAATGAGTGAGGCTCTGATACCAATTGTTGAGTTAATCGATCGACGGAATTAGCCAAGAGGGGGGTGAATTGGCAATTAAAAATTCGGTGGAAGCTTTTGCAGAAAATTGAAAAGATTTGCATAGCGATTTAGAGTGGTTCGACTTTCTCAAACAAAGTCTACGTCCACTACCTTAGCTATCCACACTAAGGATTTTCTAACAAATTCACTAATTTGTTCTTTCTTTTGAGGCCAAAGAGATAACCTTACAACAACCTCAAGAATATACCCCAATTCTTGAGAACACTCTTTTTCCCAAAGAGAAGATTACAAATTTGCAAACTTACAAGAAAACCTCACAAGGTAAGATGTTTGCACAATTCTAGAACAAGAAAATAAGACTCAAAGATAATTACAAATGAGCACAAATGGTGTTCTTGAAAGCAAAATGAATATTGAAAGGAAAATTGGCTTGATTTGCACAAACTTGGTGTTTGATGCTTTCTCTCTTGTTTCTCTATGATTTCTTGTTGATCAAGGGCTTCAGAACTTGTTTAAATACACCTTGAATCACTTCTGAACGTTGGGGAAGATTAGTGAAGATCATATAGTCGTTTAAGTGTGAAAGCAATTAATTTTTCTAGGTGGAGCGTCTCATGCAGCGATGCATGATCAAGGATGCATCGGTGCATTCGTGTAAAATTCAAATATTTTGACCGTTGGACCCTTAGTGCATCGGTGCACTAAGAGTGCATCGATGCATCAAGTGCATTCGATGTTTCAAAATAGCCCGAGTGCATCGATGCATGGCTGGTGCATCGATGCATCAAATGCATTCGATGTTTTAATTAAATCAGAGTGCATCGATGCATGGAGAGTGCATCGGTGCATAGAATGCATTCGATGTTTCAATTTATCCATTGATGCATCGATGCATGGTATTTATGCATCGGTGCATGCCTTTGAAAAATTGATTTAAGGCTTGATTTTGGTTCAATATACTTTGTGAAAATTGTTTCAAAAATATATTAAGTACAAATCACAATTTTACACATTTAGTAAGGATTAAAATTGTTTTTGAAAGACTTGGAGTAATAATTTGATATTCGATTAATTGAATCGAATATACTTAGAAAATCATTTGTAAAATCTTAAAATTCATTTAAACTTAATTTGTTATATCGAAATATCAAAATGTTTTCAATAGTATGAGACTTGTATTGGTGATAAGCATGACATGTCCTAATTTATGATCATGCATATACTTACTTTCATTTTATATTTTTGCATGCTTATTTTTATGACACTCATGCTATGATAATTGTATCAGTGATGTACTATTGAACTTGTGAAGCTCAACGTACAAATATTTTCATTTATAGGTTAGCAGACTTAGTTGGCTCGTGGAGCATCATCATCACAAAATTCAACATATTCTTTCAAGGTACAATTATGATTATTGTAGCGGACATATGTATCCATATGACTTTTAGTAATATTTAGTATGTGAACCTTTGTCATTTTGAAGTTTATTTTATAAATTATTATATCAGAGCTCCATATTTGTAAGCCCTATTTATATGTTTAGACATTTATTATATTTTATTATTTATGATATGACATATTTTGAAAAACAATTATAGCAATAGTTGCTTTTGTGGCCTAATGTGGCATAGTAGGCCCATACGAGTTTAGGTTATTAAATTTGGTGGTATCAAAACTTAGGTTGAGTCACTTCTATGACCTGATGGTTATTTAATAAAGTGTCGACGGATAAATACCCCTAAGTTTAAAAATGTACCCTTATAAGATTGGAGATCAGATGGTGCTTTCTTTATTGTTTGTTATTATAAATTGTTGTGGCTGACGACTTTCGGCATAGCCATGAGGTTCAGGTTGAGAGTGTTGCCTCCCAAACTGACAACATCGATGATGAATTCGTTCCCAACATGGAGGATAAGGAAATTTTAGGAAATGTGGGAGTCTATAAGGATACCTTTTTTTGGAACTTGTCGACTACTATAAGTGAGATGATCATTGCTATTTTACGAGCTCAAACGGCTCTACTAGTTTCTCTTGCTATAGTTGTGCCACATGAGTTTATGATAGAGAGGCTCCAGAGATACAAGTTTGTGGAATTTCATGGATCAAGTGAGGATGACCCGATAACTGTTTATTAGTGACTTCAAGAGATACTAGAGATCATGAGAAAGTTGTACCTTACCCCCGATGTAGTATGGAGTGTACCACCATTTTGTTAAAAGATGATGCAATTGATTTGATAGGACATGGTAGCTGACTTTTGAACGTTGCTCGTAGTAGAAGAAAACAAGCCTAGGGTTCTAGACTTAATCATGAACAACTTTAGCGCATAAGAGAAGACTTAGCCAAAATTAGGGTTTTGGCTGAAATCTTTTTTGTCATAAAATTGAACAAGAAGATGATAGCTAGAAAAATGATGATGAGTAGATTATGAATATGTAATAAGATAAATAAAAAGATAGATAAAGTTGATAAAAGATTAAATTTGAAGATTTTTGTTGATATGTATAAATGTGGCATGAACTAGGGTTTGTGGGATGAGCTTGGCGTGAACTGATGATCCCTTATATTTTTGTATGTTCGATTTTAGTCATTAGTTTAAAAAATCGTAGTTTGATCCATTATGTTATTAGTTTGTTCGGGTTCAGCCCATCGGCTGTTAACTATCGTTGGCCTATTAACGATAGTTTGAATTGGAAATAAATATTCTTTCAATGTTTTTGTCTTTAAACTTTTCTACCCCTTTAATTAAATATTGGGTAAAGTACACAAATGGTCCCTCGACTATAGGGTGTTGTATTGTTGAGTCATTTGACTATTAAAAATTACAAAATAGTCCCTCAACTATAGGGTGCTACATTGTTGAGTCTTTTGACTATTAAAAATTACGAAATGGTGACCCGACTATTCATATATTCCAAACTAGTCCATTTTCGTTTAAAAATCAATTATCGTATGTGCATGTTAACCTAGTGACTGTGATATGATAAAATCTAATCCCATAATCATTTGACTTGAATAGCTGTTTGAGTTTCTTGGATCAAATTTTATCATATCCTAGTCAAAAAGTTAGCGTCCAACTCAGACACCGTCAATTTTTTAACTGAAAATGATGAGTTTGAAATATATGAATAGCCGAGAGACTCAACAAAATAATTTTCTATAGTCGGAGGACTATTTTGTAGCTTCCAACTCAGACACCGTCAATTTTTTAACTGAAAATGATGAGTTTGAAATATATGAATAGCCGAGAGACTCAACAAAATAATTTTCTATAGTCGGAGGACTATTTTGTAGCTTTTAATTTTCAAGAGACTTAACAAAGCAACACCCTATAATCAGAGAACCATTTGTATACTTTTACCCTTAAATACTATGAGTTTCCTTTTATCTTACAAAACAATTTTTAAATGAATGAATTTCTCTTTAAAAGAAGGTTCAAACCTCTCTTTTCAAATTAAAAAATAAAACAAAATCTCCACACAGAGACTAAAAACTCGAGGATGTTAGCAACAATTTCAATAATTATATTGGATAAACAAAATTAATTTACAAAGACAATATAGTTCCATTTAATTGTAATAATTCTTGATAGAATCAATAAGAGAGATAATATGTATATACCGATTGCTACAATAGTTGTACATCTTCAACCAATAACCCTGAGAGTTCCATCAACCGTAAAACAAACAAAAAAGCATTGAACTTAAATCATTAGCTATACACAAGAAAAACATATATATACATATAGCATATACTAAGAAATATTCTATGCATTGATGGTCAGACTAGGAAGGTAGTGGTCTTAGACTGTTCATCCTTTTTAATTTAGCTGGAAGATCGTAATCGATGTTTTATTTGGAGAAACTGACCTATATACCCAATTTTCTTTTCTTAGTTACCTATTTTGCTGACGGTGACTACCATGAAATTTTATTTATACGCATCCCATTAAAAAAATTTGTATTATTAACATATATGTGCCACCCTCAAAAATAATTTTTTTCCGCCATTGCAACTCGGTGAGATATTAATGCGGCACCTTGATCCTTTCGCAGCACTCTGAATTAGGACCTCTCCAACCCCTTCTCCAAGCCCTTCAAAGGGTCCTCCAATGAATTCCTTCACCACCTGAGAAGCAACCCTAGCTGCAGTCCCTAACTTTTCAATACCTTTGAACCCGTTGGCTCCAAGTCCATTCACTGTGTTCTTAGCACACACTGCATGGAGATGATAATCACAGATGGTGCAATGGTACACTCTCCCGGACCTCCTGCGGTTGCACTCGCCACAGAAGACGCCAGCAGAGTCGGCATTCGATGACTGGCCGTGGCCGTGCAGAAGCAAGAGCCTTAGAGTGTGGGGATGGACTGATTTGTTGAATATATCGGTAGACAACATGGCACAGCATGGGTGCATCTGGAAACTGCATACACTGCATTTGAAAACGCTTCCTTTGATTGGCTTGGCACAGATATCGCACCCCAATTTCAATATTCCACCTTTAACTGAAATCGAATATTCTTGTCAAACAGTTATAACATCATCAAAACATTCAACACAAAATACTAAATGAACTGATTTTAAGCCCTCTAATTTTAGGGTCAGTTTAGAAACACTTCTGGCAATGGAGAATTGATTTTCACCATACAAGTCCAAAAATTAATTTAAAATTATGGTTGGAAAATTGATTTTTAACCTAACATCAAAAGTTCAAATTTCTAGTTTTTACTGTGAAAAATCACTTTTGAGGTTTTGGGGTGGAATTATATTTTTATCCTCAATTATTTAATTTTAATTGATTTTAAATTAATACACATATTTATATAATTTTAAATTGGATATTTTTTTAAATAACTTTTAAAGATAATCTTGAACAATTAAATTTTAAACTATAATTTTTAAAAATATTTTTAAAATTATTTTACAACCATTTTCAAAACCAACTTTTAAAATATAATACTAAAGCACATAGTCTAGAATCTAGCTTATTTCTTATTTTAGTACTTGGAAACATGAGCACGTGTGTTTTATGTGAATGTATATACATGAAAGGAATCAATTTATAATAGTATAAAATTGAATTATATGCATCTTCATAAGCTTTTCAATGATTATTTCTTATTTCTTATTTTAGTACTTGGAAACATGAGCACGTGTGTTTTATGTGAATGTATATACATGAAAGGAATCAATTTATAATAGTATAAAATTGAATTATATGCATCTTCATAAGCTTTTCAATGATTAATAGTATAATAGTTCAATTATTAATTATATCGTAAAAAATATGAAAGTATGTAAATTAAACTCATTTAATTGTATACTATTGAAAATAGTAAAGTATACTACTATTAAATTCAGTTAAAAAAATCTAAATTAAAGTTAAAAAATGACAAAAATAAACACGATCGAAATTATCATAAAAATATAATATTTTAATTTAGACATAACTTAAAATGTTATATTCTTCTTATCATTTTCGATTATAATATAAAATATTACAAATAAAATAATATTTTTGGCTGTCAACCGAAAATATTATTAAGAAGGTAATATTTTAGGTTCAACAGAAGATATTACGAAGAAGGTAACAATTTTAGTTTGTGTCCAACCTAAAATATTATACTTTTTGTAACATTTTCGGTCTCTCTCATTTATGTCATGTTTTAGCCTTAAATTATTAGGCTGTATAGTTGAACTACACCAATAAATTATTATGTAAGGTTAAATTAAAAGTTGCGGTGTATATATAATGACACTAACCAAGTGACTTTTGTGGTAAAAAAATTGTTATTGTTTCTTGAGGTCTTGGGTTTGAGCATCATAAATGTCAGAGGTATGAGAGTTCAATATTAAATGATTGATAGTTATCTTTAAATATATATTATTCATAAATGACTACTGATTACAATACTAGCTGAAAACAATCCTTGACTTAAATTAAATCCATAAGTAAATTCATGTTGAAAATTGAAGTACAAAATAAGCAAGTTAATTCAAATTGAATATTATAGTTATGGTTTATATCATAAATGATTAAAATTATTCACTTGCAAAGTTGCAAACAGCTCATGGGAATACCATATTCCTTTAAACAAAGAAGAAGAAGAAACAACAGGAACTAATAATTACCTGGTTTGTAATACAAAATGAGTTTGTGAAAGGGGTGGATGGGGTGCAAGCAAATCGGAGGCCTGCGCCAAGCTCTTTGTAGGCTGCGCAGTCGAAGAGGTCGGGGAAGTGAGCTCGGGAGATGGAGTGTTGCGGGTGAGTCACATGGAACATTTCATGTCCCTGCTCCGGCACCACCGGAGACGTCGGGAACTCAATGCGATAATGAGGAGAAGGAGATCTCCAGTTGCTTAATGGTTGATCCATGGAGTTTGGGAATTTTATGGGGAAGGAATTGGTTTTCTTGAAGGAGGGTTTAGGGTTCGTACTCATCATCATCGAAATTCTTTGTTTGATGCTCCTGAGGAAGAAGGTAGTTGTGCAAATTTTGAGTGATTGATGGAGAATATTTATTCTGGAAAAGTTTGACACTACCTAAGTAAACGACAAAGGAGGTGTGAACTTAATGTAGTTAATTAATACGGCAAACTATGTATTTAGTCATCTAACTATTTTTGTGATTCTTTTTTGGTTACCCAACTATTTTTTTTTGAATTTGTAGCTAAATTTACGTTTTTGTTCCGTTTTGGTCGTGTTTCGTTAAAAGATTAACATTGAGATGATGTGTTATCATAAGATAATGCCATGTCATCTTTGAAAAAAATAAAAAATTGTCACGTCAGTAATTCTGTTTATTTTTAAACGGTTGGTGACCAAAACAGAACAAAAACATAAATTTAATGATTATTTTGGAAAAAATAATAATTGAGTGACTGAAATGAAATCATAAGAATAATTGAATAGATAAATATGTAATTTACCCTAATTAATAATGGTAGAAATACTAATTAACTTTATCTGTAGGGTTATTTTTTTGGTGCACCAATAGTAGAATTTTTTTTACCATATAGGTTAATTTTAAAAATCATTATATGGTACGAACTCATCAAGTAGCTTCAGCAGTAAAAGGGGTATTTTTTTTAGAGATTATTGACTCGGGCAGCTACATCTGTATAATATGTGTATTGTCAATAAATTAAGAAAATTCTCAATATATATTAACTTGTAATCAGGGATGAAATGAGGGGCGGGTGAGGGAGGTCGCTCCCTAAAAGTTTCTAATTTTTATATAAAATTTTTTACAAGTTTATCCTCTCAATATAAAATTGTGTATTCGTCCTTACTTATAATTTCCTCGGGACTATTAAAAAAATCATTACATGTCTCATTAATTGTTGTTTATTTTGTTATAGACATGTTTCACTTTAAAAAGTTATGAGTCATACATTAACTTTTAAAATCCATAAATAGAATTATATATTATGTGTGGATTCTCTAATTAATTGAATATTTTGATTAGATTAAATTGATTTGATTATGGAATTAATCATTTAATTCAGTACCTGTATTAATATATTATAATATACACAGTGTAAATGTTATTAAAGCTATAATATACTGAATAAGTTTCGTTAATACTCATTAAATTTTTAGATTGTCATTTTAAAAATGCTGTCTTAAATAATCTTTAGACGGTTAGATAAACTGCCAAACTTGATGATGTTTATGAAGTTAATAATATGTAACAACAAATAAAAATGAATAAGTCATTACAAATTTAGCGGTTAGACGTTTATGAACATTTAAGAAATAAATGTTCGAATACTATTAATGTCAGGGGTATAAACGTTAAATGTCAAATGAATAAGAATTATATTTAAACAAATATTATTTTGTATTTATCTCATATTAATATAAAAGTAAAACAAAATAAACGTTCAAGTTATATTTATTTTATAGTGAATTAAATGAGAAATAAGATCATTATGAATAAAGCCATTACTAAAAATATAATTGTAAATAAAAGCATATTTTAAATGGATATAAATGTAGGTAGTTATTTAATATTTTCTTAAATGTTTGTTTATTGTAAACAAAGAAGATTTTAATGTAGTTTCTATAGGAATCTCACCTATGATTAATTTAAGGCAAAGTGTAAACTTTGCCCCTATAGTATACCTAATTTATTATTTTCCCTCCTATCATAGTTTTGCGTCAATTTAGCCCTCGGTGTTATTTAGTTGCATCATTTTAGACCTTATTCTAACTTAAACCCCTAAATTGAGGGTTTGAATGTTTATGGTTTAGAGATTATGGGGTCATGGTTTGTGTTTAGGGTTATTAATTTAGAGTTTTAAGTTAGGGTAGGGTATAGAATGATGCAATAAAACAACTTTGAGGGCTAAATCGATGCGAAAATATAATATGGGCAAAAATGATAAATTGAGTCTACTATAGAGACAAATGTGACCCATAAGCATTAATTTATTTTTCACATTTTTTTTATGATTTTTTATTTTATTTTTCACACAATAGGGTTGTCAGAACGGTCCTTAAGCTTTTTAGAGATATTTCGGGGAGCGATCCAACTTAATCTTGGAAAAGGTTGGGTTTTAAAATAAATGTATAAATAAATAGCTTTGGAGTCGCCATCGACTTTTAGGTAGGTAGGTCGAATACCTGACAAATGTCTTTTAAAATAATTTTAAGAAAAATAACTTTAAAGGATAAAAATGATATGCGTTTAACCAGAGATTCGTTTTGAAAAAAAGTTCGGGAGTCGCTTATGCGTGGGGAAGGATTAGCACCCCCACAGTGTCCAAAATCGGTACCTAAGAGATTATACGTCATCTAAATATTGAAATTGGTAAATTTGAATATAAATTTAAATTATGATCCTATTAGAAAAATTAAAAGGGATAATATTTTGTACGAACAATTCTCAAAAAATTCATTCCTTGTCAATTAAGGGGCATTTCCATGGATTCTCCATACAAAATAATATTGCCCTGATTTTTAATGAATTACATATATTAAATATATTTAAAAAATTTCATTCGAATAAAAATGTATTATTTTGTTCGAACAATCAACGGAAACACACTCCTTGTAAGTTTAGGCGCGTTTCCACGTATAATCCTTACAAAAATAATATTATTTTAATAAATATTGTATATGCATTCGAGATTAAGATTTAAAATAATGGAAGTCATGAAATTAGGAATACATACAAGCACATTCATAAAACTAAGCACTTCTATTTTATATATACATTCATGCACTAATTCATTGGATTAATAATTCTAAAATACCTACAGGCATTGATTCAAATACCCACATACACTAATTTAGATATATATACTATGTACATACGTGTAATGGCACATATAATGTTTATTTATGGAATACTGAGCAATATAACTCACGTATATACATGCATAAAACAAATGCAAGGCCAAGATATCAATGCAACTGTATGTATATATTTATAACATGTTCGAAACTATTTTTTTTTTTACTAAAATGGCATAAATGCAAGCCATAACAACTAAGTGGGCATAACCACAAATATAGCGAAGACAAAGATTAAAATGTAAATAGCATATAAGATAAGCATGAAATCCAAATAAATAAACACCCTGAATTCGAAAATAATATGTGCAAAATAAAAGGATTAAATCAGGAATTTGCAAAACCTTAAAACGAGACTAAATTGTATTAATTTCCAAATGGGTGGAACCCTCACAAAATAAACCCAAATGATAAAAAAGGGGGCTGCCCTTAACCCATAATAGCACTAAACGGCAGCACTATGGTTTCATTAAATCTTAATTACGCTCAAGGAAACCCTAAAGCCAATTTTTGTTCATGTTTCATTCCACAGCCGCATCTCCTCATCTCTACCCCAACTCTCTCTTTTCTTCTTTTCACTCTTCCCCTGCACAACTCACGACAGCCACTAAGGCCGAGACTAAACCAAACCAACCCCGTTTCTCTTTCTAAGCTCCCTCTAAAGAAAACACACTCGACGTCCACGTTCACGGTGGCTCTCTGCTCTACACACGCTCGGATCCGACTGAAAAGCCCTAACCGCCGGCCCTAAGGCGCAACCACCCTCACCGACAAGAGCTCACTCTCCAAAGGTAAACAAACGCCCTTCTCTTTCTTTTTACTCTCGCACAACCTAGAGAACCGAAACGAGAACCCTAAAATGACTATTCGACCACCTAAACTATAAAACGAGACTCTACTAAAACATGCAAAAGCCGAACGACTAAAGAGGCTCGGTCGTATAACTACCTCTCATCCTGTGACAATCTTGACTCCGGTGAGAAGCCCCGAAACGAATCTCGTAGCCTTTCTTTACTTTTCTTTTTTTGATGCTGGAATGCTCTGTTTACTCTTCTTTTGTTCTTTCGAATAAAAAGGAAGGGGTGATGATTTCTGTATTTAATAAAACGAATCGGGAAACAAATATGGAAGAGGAAAATATATTGTATTGCTTCCCTTTTTCATTCCAGGGGAAGAAGAAGACCTCTCTACACTGTTTTTCATTCGGGTTTTATACCCATTTCACAAATCGAGAAAAAAAAGATTTCTTAATTTCAATCTTTGTTTTTTCTATATTTTGCATGATATTCTGCTGTTGTCGATCTGCTGAGAGGGAGAGACTTTCATCTTTTTCTGATTTTTGTTGCTGTCTTGGTTGTTGACGATAAAAAAACAGTCCCATTTTAATGTTTGTTTGCTGTTTTCCTGCTAGGGCTGCTGCTGCCGCGGATTTGGTGCTGTTGTCGCGGATTTGGTGCTGCTGTGGGGAGCTGGCCGGTGCTGTAAAGGGAACCATGTACGGTTTGGGTAATGGGGATGTTAACCCGGGCAAAATTACCGTATTACAAGGGTGTTACAAACCTCATCTTAGAATACCATGTAATACTTGAACAACTGATACATGCGTGTATTGGGGTTTTGATACCTCCACTTAATCGTTCAATCTTCAAGTATGGTTATATTATCCTACATTACGCTGACATTACGTGAGATGCCTCCACTGTGCCGCCATTGTGGGGATATATCTGCTGTTGGCTAAGAGTTTTGAGTTGCCTCCGTTCTGATTGTTGAGATGCCTCCACTCTTTTTAGACTTACAAAATTTTTTACCAACAAATAGCCAAAAAGATTGAAATCCTTCGAATGCAGATAAGCCTCCACCCGCCAACTATAGAATCGCTGAGCTACATCCGTACCCACAAAATAGTGAGCCTCTAAGGGCATTGAGCCGCCTTTTCCATGTTTTACCATGAAAAAGATGACTCAGTTCTACTTGTCGTGTACGGTACGTGTTGAGATGCCTTCGCACCCATCGCAATACATCATTAAAAGTTCATTAGCCTCCTCTACCTGGCCGAAAAGCATTAAGATACCTCA